TGATGGTATTGACTTGTTCAGAAACAGTCACCTTCTTCTTCTTCTTTGGAACTGTACTCAAGAGGATTGCACTGATGTCTCTGGTAAGCAATGCTCCTTCCTCAGGACTTACACCATTCACAACCATTCTCTTTACATACCTTCTTAGAGCTGGTGAAAGCTTGACTGCATCAACAAGTGGGATCTCAAGCATCAGCTTGTCTATCATAGCTTTGCATCTGGCTTCTTCTATCTCATGTTTAGACTTCATAGGATGCTTGGGGAATGGTGTTTTGGGTTTATAGACACGTTCCTGGTCATAATTTGCAGTTACAGGCGAAGCAGCTTCGTTCTGGGGTGGGTGACGACCGTCACCAGGGGGGTGACGCTCGTCACTCACTTGTGACAACCCCCGATATCCTTGTAGGTTGGTGACGAGCGTCACTCCTCCTTGGTGACGCTCGTCACTCACCTCTGAGACAGAAAAATTTTCATCTTCAGACTCCATGAGTTGCACGATCTGTTCTGCACTCAACCTCTTTTTCTGCACTGTTTAAAGCTCCTTTTCATTCCTTACTGTGATGGCATTAACCTGATGCTTGGGATTGATGTCAGTCCTTCCAGGAAGGAATCCCTCTTGCCTTTGAACAGCTCCTGCAGTTTGAGCAACCTGCACATCAAGCTTCTTCATGTGAGAGTTCAGACTCTCAATTTTTCCATTCAGGTCTTGATACAGCGAATCTAGCTTGCCATTGAAGTTCACTGTCATCTTCTGCTGTCCTTCAAGTACCTGCTCCAGCATAGCTTCCATTTTATTGTCTTGTGGAGGTGCAGTTTGGTAGGAAGAAGAACCAAAATTCCTGCTGTTTTAGTAAGGTTTCTCAACTTCAGTCTTCTGGAATGGGGGCTTAGGAGTGTAACCAGGCGTGCTATGTCCTCCTGTAAAGGTACTCTGCTGATTATTGTTGTTGTAGCCTCTGTTCCATTGCTGATTTCCAAACCTTTGGCTCTGAAAAACCCTCTCCATTGATGAAATTAACATCTTTCTGCTCAAATTCTTCAGGATTTTCGAAACTCTCCACTTCTGCAGCAAACTGAACTGACTTTTTTCCCACCAAAAGGCTGTGCATGCTGTCTAACTTAGCCTTAACTTCAGCTATTTGGTTTCCATCATACAAACCACCCTGTTTCATTCTCTGAAAATCTGCATTCTTGGTGCTGTTGCTGCAGACCAAGTTCTCAATCAACCTGATTGCTTCTTATGGTCTGTTGGTGTTGAAGTTTCCTGCACTTGCTGCATCCAGCGCCATCTGGTACTTCCAGTCAATGCCTCTGAAGAAGATACCAAGCAGTTGCACCTGATTGAAACCATGATGAGGACAATCCCTTTGATAAGACTTAAACCTGATCCAAGAAGCTTTAAAAGCTTCAGTAGGGCCTTGTGTAAATGATGCAATTTTCGTCCTCATGTCCTCTGATCTTGCATCATCATAGAAGTCATTCAAAAAGGCATTCTTGGTGTCTTCCCAAGTGGTCAATGAAGCAGGTTCCAGTTGCTTCAGCCAATATGCAGCTTCTCCTTCAAGAGAGTAAGGAAAAAGCTTGCAGAACAGAAAGTCATTGCTAACCCCATTAGCTTTGACACTGGAAGCCAAGTCCTCAAATCTCTCTATGTGATCTATAGGATGCTCATGAGGTAAGCCATGGAATGGATGCTGGCCAACCAGCTGATAGTAGACTGGTTTAACCTCAAAATCGTTCCTCTGGAAGGCAGGAGGTCGGATTGCAGCTCTGTTGGCATAGAACTGATCAGGTCTGTTGTAGTCACCTAGAGTCCTCTGAACAGAACTTTCTCTATCCTTTTCTCACTATTCATTTCTCTAATTAAAATATCTTTATACCTAATAAAAACATAAAAGTACTATATATTTACTAAGATACTCAATAAATTACATGTATATAGTTTTTACCTAAATGCATGTGTAATCCTGTGAGGTTTTTGAGTGGGTATGGCCTGTCGTTTACCGCTTGTCCTTTTTGACCTCATGTGCCATTCATTCCATCTTTCATGTGTCCCAGTTTTAAGACGGCAGTTCACTAAGTGAATTTCACTTTAAATATTATTGGTTTTAAACTTCACAACTAATTAGTTTAAATGGGTTGTGGAACTAGAGAAAGGTGCATGGTTTTGGACGAGATCATACAGATCATTTTGATACACACCTTGAGGACAAGGTGCATGGTTTTGGGCGAAGTATCAATTATTAATACGTTCAGTGGGTTACTCGTGAAAAAATTAAAAAAAGTAATTTAAAAGCTAACACAGTGAAAATTTAATTCTATTTAGGTTTATTTAGTTTCCGTCTCTAATAACATGTAACATTTACTCCTTTTTATTTGGGGTTTGGTTTATCCATTTTTATGTATGTATGATGATGGGTCTTTGATAGGGTCAGGTTTTACCCAAATAAAACTACTGCAAGTGCACAGCAAACGCAGTTGTAGTACAATGGATTATCGAATCTCAATGAAGTATGTAAACCACACTAGCGATTATAGATTCAGATTAAGCTAAGCGATAAATAATGAATGTAATGCAAAACAGTAAAATAAATGCAAGAGGGCGTTTTTATGCTTGTTCTTAAAGTTCAGAAGGCTAAAGGCGCTAAGTCAGGACAGTTCGCAGGTTGAATCCGAGAGTGTAGAATGCATGCAATCAGGAATGAATTAAAACCGTCTTGAACATGAATCGCGAAGATATAACTAATCAATTCTCATTGCAGAAGTTATCTATGTCTAAATCACAGAGTTTCAAATCTCTTTGCAAACCCTAACAACCTAAACATGCAGTAATGATCAGGTTCAATTGTTCACAAAACTCCTAAGCCAAATCTCTTTGTACTAGGGCGTTTTGCTCATCTAATACTAGTTCAGGTTATCAATAATGCTCTCACATCTATCAAACAACCTAGGGTTTCAAATTCCTAGTCGATGTGTCTAAGAAATCGATATGAATGCAAGCACAGATGAAGAACCACTGAATTTTCCTAATAGTTTAGCAATTCTACAAACTCTTCTTCAATCTTTGAAAAGCCCTAACTTAACTAACAAACTACTCAGACATGGTGATTTTAGAAAATATCATGAAAAGAATAGATTGCATAAAAGAAATAAGAAGTAGAAATAAAGGAGTTCGAAATCTGCTCTGAAGGAGTCTGATTTGTCTCTCCAAAAGCTCTGCTACAAAAATCTCTCTCTAAAGCTCTCAAAAATAATAAGATACAAGATATCTACCAAAAGAATGGCTGAAAAACCTAATATACAAGCTAAAACACGATATGGGGCTTTTTTCAAATACTGGAACTTTTAGGCCAAAACTGCAAATAATCCTCTATATTTTAGAAAACAGCCACGACCCCTTCCTTTCTGGGTGACGAGCGTCACCAAATTGGTGACGAGCGTCACCAAATTGGTGACGAGCGTCACCCATATGCATACTTTTCTTCTTCGAGCTAGGTACTTCGTGGCTTCAACTCATAATGCTCCAAAAGGTTCCAAAATCTCTAATTATGCTCCAGACATGCTATAACCTGCAAAGACTCTTCTAAGACTCTAAAAAAACTAAAAAGACTCAATAAAAAGGACTTATATCATGGTTAAAAACCATAAAAACCATAATATATCAGTCTTCTCCACATTCTTTTTGGTGTAGAGAACAATAAGAGAGTTTCCTTGGAACACGTCACAAACATTATGATCCATTGATAATATAATATATAGCGTGACGTGTGTGTGTGACGTACGTGTGTGACGCTCCATTTTAAAACTTTATGTATGTGAGCTTAACTCATATCTTCTTGAGACACGTCACATACATTATAGTGTACTAGCGTTGAGCCAGCTTTATCAAAAGAGCGTCTTGTGATCCCCAAATTCTACATGTTCTCGATGTCGCATTATTGGTGAAGGCGATGTTTTATAAATAATTTCTGCTCTATCATCTCAATGCGTCACTTCTTGCATTTCATCTCTCGTTGTTTAGCCATCATCTTTTTCTATCCATCCTCTATTCCTCACATGTAGTCGTTTGTGCTGTGCAAATGTAATCTTCCTCCCACCTTTTGGTTGGTTCTAATTTGATTCTTATGTATGTTATACTTTATCTTAGTGAAAGCCATTTTAACCAAAAAAAAAGAAGAACGAATTGAAATACTGATCTCCAAACATTCGGATTGGTGATTTTTTTTTTAACGATTTAAATGTAAAACAGATAAAAGAAAGACAAACTTAAAGGTTTGAAAGAGACAAGAGTAAGACGAGGAGCTCGGAAGTAATGGCAGTGGAGGTGGCGCTTAAGGATTGAACACTCATAAGTATGAGAACACTCAACGATATCAATGTGCAAGATGTAAAGAGAGATTATGATTTCATACTTGAAGAGTTCTGACTTGTGAGACTATATACGGAAAAAAGATGCAAATTCTTATTATTTTTTGAAATTTTCTATATTGTTGTTTTGTATCCTTAATTCCTTAGGCCCCCCTATTGGTGGATCCCAATTATTTGGTTTTTGCAATACATTTGGTACTTTGGTTCTCATAATAAATTATTAATTCAGCGTTAGAAAAAAAGAAGAAGATTAGGGGCACTACTATATCGTAAGTGGTTATAAATAGTTTTGTAATGTTTGTTAAATTAATGTCACAATTATTACTTTTCTTGGATTTTTGTATAACAGAGGAATCTCTTTGATTGTTGATGGTTTGATCATTTGTTTTTTTACTACCAATATCAGCCGGTGGTTTATAATATTTTCACTGTTCTTTACGATGTAGAAATGTTGTGCTTCTTGTAATTAATTAATAATCCATTACAAAAAGAATTCTACTATTTATGGTGAATGAAAAGTTCTTCAACAAGTTCACATTTTCTAAGGAAGACTCCCAAAATCTTTGGAGAAAAGATCGAAACTGTTGTCTATAAAAGCAAGTTTCAATATAAAAAAAATAGAGAAATATAAATCTAAAGTGAAAAGATGAGTCGCCAGGGTTTATTGCTGCCACTCTTACTCTTTATTGTTACATCATCTCTACATGTATCACACAGTAGATCTGAGATAAGATGTGAAGAGTACCCACCATTTGGTTGTAACAACACCACTAGTTTCAACAGAGATAGCTTTAACAAGGGTTTCCTCTTTGGTGTCGCTTCTTCTGCTTATCAGGCACTCATTTCACTTCAGTTTTCATGCTTTATTGCATTGTTTTATTCTTGTTAGATGTATGCATGTATAATTGTATATAGAATAGTGAATATATTTGTGTGTATGTGTGTGTGGGTGGGTTCCATTGTGAGAATCAGAATAAATGTATATATTAGGGTTAGCTGATTTAGCATTTTGGTTTTTCACTTTTTAGATTGAAGGTGCACAAGGAAGAGGCTTAAATATTTGGGATGGTTTTACTCATCGATATCCAAGTAATAGTTCTTTTCCCCTCTATGTTTACCTTATAATTGCATGTAGCAAAAATAAATATTATTTTATGATGTATTTACGACTAACAGCTAAGGGAAAAGGTAAAGCAACTGGAGATATTGCCGCTGGCTCGTACTTACACTATAAGGTTTTGTTATTGATTTTCATGCTTCAACTTAAAAACAAAAATTCCCATTACACAATCGATTTCAGTGACTCTTATATGATATATTTACACACGCCCGTATAAATTGTATAGGCAGATATAGACGTGATGAAGGAAATTGGGGTTGATTCCTATAGATTCTCAATCGCATGGTCCAGAATCATACCAAGTACATCGTATATAAACATTTCTGTAAATCGACAATGCATTGTGAATAAAATATAAAATGATAAGAGTATAAATATATTGATTAGGAGGAAAGGCTTGTCGCGGAGTCAATGAAGAAGGAATTTCTTACTACAACAATCTCATCAATGGACTTGTATCTAAAGGTATATCTACGTGTAGATACAGTAACGTTAGTGTATTTTTATTTAACGTATGTGCTTGCTTAATTCAAATGAGTTATGTTGCAATATCCAGGCATTAAACCATTCGTCACCCTTTTCCATTGGGACCTTCCTCAAACTTTGCAAGACGAATATGAAGGTTTCTTGGACCATCAGATTATGTACTCGTAGCTTCCTTTTTCTTTCTTGCTATTCACTACATTTGATTTTCTTATCAATCATTTGATTTTCACTTTTAACCTTCTACAGTTCTCCTATACATGTTGTGTAGAGAGGACTTCAAAAACTACGCGGAACTTTGTTTTCAAAGATTTGGTGACAGAGTCAAGAACTGGATTACAATAAATCAACCTTATACTATTCCTACGCGAGGCTATGCAACTGGCACAGACGCACCTGGACGATGCTCATCTTGGCTTAACAAAAACTGTTATGCGGGCGACTCTGCGACCGAACCCTATATCGTTGCACATCATGTCCTTCTTGCTCATGCAACTGTTGTGGATCTGTATAAACAAAAATACCAGGTTTGTAGTAGAAAAAAAGCGTTATACTCAAACATGTCTCTAAGTAATTAACTAACTAACACAAATACTATATTATGATCACAGAAAATACATGAAGGGGAAATTGGAGTTACAATGATTACTAGATGGTTTCTTCCGTACAGTAACTCTGATGAAAATCTTAAAGCAGCTGAGCGAGCCAAAGAGTTTTTCCACGGATGGTACTTTATTTGTTCTTCCACTAGTGTATACTTTATAATGTGTTTTTTTTCAATCTAACAATTTAAAAAGAGGAGAGACGACGCACATATGTATAGGTTTATGGATCCGCTAACGAAGGGACACTATCCATTAATCATGGAGCAGATGTTGAAAAAGCGACTTCCACGGTTCACCGCAAAAGAAGCGTTATTAGTGAAAGGATCATATGATTTTATTGGAGTGAATTATTACATGACACAATTCGCAAAAAGTGTTCCACCTGAAAATCCTAATAGACTTAGTGTCATGACGGATTCACAAGCTAGGCTTTCTTGTAAGTTTATTCTTAGTATCACTAGCTACTTGGTATGCGTTTGTGCATGTGGAAAGACGATATCATTTCTAGGATTTTTCTTGCAGATGTTAATGAAGACGGTCCAATAAGTCCATGCGTAAGTTTCATGCATAAATCACATATAATTTAGTAAGTTTAATTAATAAGTTGGTTAATTATATTCTTTTTTGTTACTGTTGAAATGAAGCCATTTGGGGATGACTACTATCGTCCAAGAGGGATTTTAGATGTACTAGAGTACTTCAAAACAAATTACGGAAACCCCAAAGTTTATATAACTGAAAACGGTAAGCAAATTATGAATATGTTTAATAGTAGTTTATCACCAAAGTGTTGATTTAACTACAAAAAAAAAAAAAACAGCAACGTGTTAAAAATTGTTATAATTATTTTTCTGATAAGTTGTGTTTATTATATTTGTAGGCTTTCGAAGTCTTGATGGAAGTGCGTTGGTCGAAGAAATCAAGAACGATCAAAATAGAACGGACTTTATATGCACTCATCTTTGTTTTGTACGATCAGCCATCGAGTAAGTCTTCTCTCTTTCGTATTCACCAATACATTAATAAATATAGGTCTACAAAAAGAAATTAATATATGTATGTGCGTGCATGTGTGTGCTCATGTACTTGTCCACATAAATTTGCTGCATGTGAATAAATCAGTATCAGATTAATAACTTTTCAGAACTACGTACTATGCTTTATGTGGAACGAAAAAATATCATTTTAATTTACATCCATTTCATATATTTTATTGTATCAACGTTTCTATTGATGAAGATGATGTAATATTTAAATAACTTTCTCAATATGTGTTTTTTTTTTAACCTATATGAACAGGAAAGGTTGTCAAGTGAAGGGATATTTCGTTTGGTCTCTGGGAGATAATTACGAATTCTGTGATGGCTACACAGTTAGATTTGGGTTGACGTATATAGACTTTGCAAACATTGCAGATGATAGAGATCTGAAATCTTCAGGAAAATGGTACCAAGAGTTTTTGAAGCCAAATCAAAATGTTATCACACAAGTGCAAGACTATAGTTCACAACATTTTCTGGATGACCAAGTAAAAGAAAAAGAAAGATGTGTGATTGGCCAGACCAGCTAATATCATCCTTTCATTAACATTAAACTTAATTAACATGAAAACTTCTAAAAATAATCTTTTTAATAAAAAAAATTGTAATAATATTAACAACAAAGTTTGGTCTCATTTAAAATTATCTAAAAATCTCAAAAGAGCTACAATCCGGTAGATCTTCTCACCTTGTTTGAACTTTGGTTGAAAAAATCTCAAAACCCTAAAGTGTTAGAATTGCATAAAACTTGAACTATAGTTTATATTCCATTCTTTTTGAGTTAAAAAATCGTAGACATAAATTATTTTTTCTCTTATGATAACAACATAAATGAAAATGTATGTCCAACAATAATCTTGACTCCTTGATCTGTTGGCATAGAGGGGCAAAAGTTAAACATTATTAAAAGTAAGATCATTTGAATTTAAGCTACTTTCAGATGAAAATTAAATTTAGATTATCCAAATCTCCATAAAATCATTTCAAAGATGCAATTAGTAATTTTATGAGTAAAAAACCACTAAATGACTTGGAAGAGAATAAAAAGAACCAGTGAGATCTATAATGAATAAACAAAACAAAATACTTTGATACCATGTTTGTTCAACTGAAATAATTAAAAAAGGAAATATGTTGTTTTGTTATGTAACTTATAGAGATTATATGGTATAGTCGTCTCACTATTTGCTCCGTCTCACTAAAGAGCATCCATCATCTTCGATCAGTTGCTAGTTCGACCATGTCAATGCCATACAAAGCCACCAATGTTCATGAGGACATCTCAAATTTAAACCAGATGCACGATGACTTCATAACTAAGGTTTATGAAGCTACACAATCGATACTAAAAATTGACCGTGAAGGACAGATAATTAGAGGAGTGACAGAGATACAGACGGCGGCTAGTCAGCTACATAACGACCAGAAGATATCAATGTTGTTACTGGATGGTAATAATGGTATTAGCCAGAAATAGGATAATATGTATAGCAAGTCGATTGAAAAACACTTGATGATTTCATCAGATTGATCCTAAAGAATTCGCAAAGGATCTTGAGAATGTTGAGGGGTCTTCAATTCGATACTTTGAATCCTTATATCCGCATAAGGAAAAATTGAAGATTCTCCAAACAAACATTACTGACTTGCAAGAAGAAATCCGCTCGTGAGATGATACTTTTCTTGTGTATTTCTTTTTTTTTTTTTTGCTGAAGATACTTTTCTTGTTATTGTGAGTTTTTGCATACCTAAGATCAATCATAAAATGCTAATCTAAAATTTTAAAAATCTATACTTAAATTAGTGTCTTAAATTATATTCTCTCTTTTTTTTTATAAGATGTTTTAGAGATTTTTTTTTTCTAAATAGTTGATGTTCTCACATTTTTACTTAAAATTTAATATTTTTTTATTGTTTTAGCTGTTTGAATTTTGAATCCTATTTTTTTATTGGTTGAACTGTTTTGGAATTAATAGAAAAAACATGTTTTATTTTAAAAAATAAAAAATTAAATAATTTTTTAATCTGTGTAAATCTTTAAAATATTTTTTAATAAAAACAGAGGGAATATTTTGGTACAGCAGTCTATATGGTAAGCTAGTATACGATTTAAAATCATGTATAATCGTTTTCGTTTCTCAATACTGAAAAAAGAAAAAAAACCCAAGGCAAACCGAAACTGTTATGGATATTTTCAATTGAATGAAAACGAACCAAACTTGATTCGGTAAACAAGAACCGGGTTTACTCCGTTAATCCTAGGACTACGATGCTACATCGTCTTTGGTTGGGACGTTGGGGAGTGTACTAACATGTATAATCTCGAGGGGACATGCTTCCAGTAATTGACAGAAATTGTAAATTTACTTTACTACCAGTGACTTTCTTTCGGCGAAGCCATAAGATCCCGCCACGTCATTTTCCATTGTCGAAAACAGCTCTGAGATCATGCCACGTCTTACGTCACTGCCAAAGTTCACGAAGAGATTTTGCGTCGTCCAACGAGATATGGAGGGAAAAAAAACATAAAGGAAGAAGAGGTACGTACAAAGTACAAACTACAAAACGATTAGGAAAAATTAAGCACCCAAATTTAAGATTAAGTTTAAATTGAACAAAATCTATTTACAATAATGAGAATTTTTTATTTTTACAGTGGAAATATATAATTAAGGCCGTGTGGATCAAAACGCTCTCTCTCTCTCTCTTCTCCAATTTTCTCGTGTTGGTGGCCGGGAAATTACATCTCCGCCAGCCGCCGGAGTTAAATCCATGTTAGTTGATCGGCGGAGCCATCGTTGCCGCGTTGGAAAATAATTCGCTGCAGTTTCTTTCACGTCTCGCCTCTCATTGAGGGGAATATTGGCAGATCGATCTAGATCTGGCGTTCCTAGGGTTCTTCGCCGTTGGAGTTTCATGGTCTCTGGTGATTGCATTTCGGATTAATCGGATTTTGGTGGGTTGAGTTCGGTGTATTATTACATGGAGAGAGGAGGTGGCATGAGATCCGGTGAATCTCCAGGGATATTGATTAAGAAAAGAAGCTCTTCTGGTTGCTTGATTGTGAAGAAGAGCGATGGGGTTGGTAGGATTTGTTCGTTTTCAGAGAATCGTCCGAGTTTTGATAGAAAGAGGTCTAGGATAATTAAGAGTGATTCTGAGTCTAGCGATAGATTTACGATCCCTCGTAGTGATTCCGTTTATGAGCAAGACACGCGACACTATCGCAATGTAGAAGACAGTCGTTTCGGCTTGAGAAGGGATTGTGTTGAGGGGAAAGGGGATTGTTTTGTGGGGAAGAGCAGAGAGTGGAAAGAGAGTAAGAGGCATAGACTAGATTCTGATGATGATGATGATGATGATGAAAATGAGGAGAGTGAAGATGAGTTATTGGCAATGAGGATGAGGAGATCCTTTGATAGTAGTGGAGTTGATATTGGTAAGAAAGCATATATTGGGTCTGGTCAATTCGGCATTGACAGAGAATATGGAAGTGGGTCTACTAGTAAAGGTTTCGATATTGAGAAGAGGAGAAAACCATGTTTAGATGGATCAGGGAGCATAGGTTTCGCTGATCAAGGTTATAGGAACCGGTGTAAGGTGAGTGGAAACGAAAGCAAAACTCATGCGTTATCGCTGCAGAGGAAGTACAAGCGTGAGATGAGTTTCGATGGACCGATCAGGGTTCAGGGGAAAAATGGTGTCCTCAAGGTGATGGTGAAGAAGCAGAATAAGATGGGAGGGTTACCGCAGAATTTCACTGGTGCTGAAGCTAAACAAACTCCATATGGCTCGAAGATTCAGGAGACTGGTAAAATTCGTGTTGCGATTCAGTCGCCAACCACTATTAAAACAGAGAATATGGCGAAACTGCTTCTTCCCCCTGCTAGGATACAGTCAAATGGCTTGAAAATGCCCACGGCTTTAAGCTTGAAGAGTAAAGGCCAGGACCGAGATTCTGAAGATAGTGATACCTCGTTGCGGCTGCAGAAGAGAATGATTCAACCTCATAAGCTCTTAAGCGCAGGAGGAGGAAAAACTTTACCTGAAGCTCCAACGCCTCCTAAAATCAGAGACGGTAAGATTAGGCGCGGTTCAGGCACGGAAAAGCAAAGATTACGTGAGCGAATCAGGGAGATGTTACTGGAAGCAGGGTGGACGATTGACTATAGACCTAGAAGGAATAGAGACTACCTAGATGCAGTCTATATAAGCCCCAGGGGAACAGCGTACTGGTCTATTATCAAGGCGTACGAAGCACTTCTTAAGCAGTTGAATAGTGGGGAAAAAGTGGCCAAGCCTTGTGAAGATAGTTCCTCATTTAGTCTGATCTCAGATGAGATACTCAGTCAGTTGACGCGGAAAACCAAGAGAAAGATTGAGAAAGATATGAAAAGGGAGGAACAATGTGGCAGTGATAGCGATGGACGAGCGACTTTTGCAAGAAACTTATCAAATATTAGAAATGAAGTAGGAAACGGTGACAGATATGTTCGTAAAGAAGAGCGGAGCTCCTCTCCAGAGATGGTTGCCGTTTCAGTAAAGAATGAGGTCAATGACAGAGACGGTTCACTGGGTACAACTTCAAAAAGCGAAAGCCCGTTGCATCACCAAACTGAAAAATCAACTGGTTCCTCCTCTCACCGTGTGGATGGAGGGAAAAGTAGCAAACATGGTAGGAGTACATTGTTGGTACGGCGTTCAGTCAAAGGAGATAATTCAGAGAGTGGTGGCATTGTGCCCTCATTTGAAAAACGGACTGTACTGGGATGGCTGATTGATAGTGGAACCATACAGTTGAGCGAAAAGGTGATGTACATGAACCAACGAAGGTCACGCGCAATGCTTGAGGGTTGGATAACAAGAGAAGGGATTCACTGTGGTTGCTGCAGTAAAATTCTTTCAGTTTCGAAGTTTGAGATACATGCTGGAAGCAAATTGCAGCAGCCGTTTGAGAACATATTTTTGGATTCGGGGGTTTCTCTTCTTCAATGCCAAACCGATGCATGGGATAAGCAAAAAGGTGCTGGCAACATTGGTTATTGTTCGGTAGATGTAATTGCTGATGATCCAAATGATGATGCTTGTGGCATTTGTGGAGATGGAGGTGATTTAGTTTGCTGTGATGGTTGTCCTTCAACTTTCCACCAAAGATGCCTAGACATACGGGTATGCTGATTTCACTGTTTTTTTATGTTTGTCTTTTTTTTTGGATTATTTTTAACAACCTAGTGATAAGCTATGAGAATTGACAAAAGGGAAACACTGGTCTGTTTGGTGCTCCGTATAAACAGGTTTTTAGAGCTATACTATTAGCTAAATGAACGGACAAGATTCAATACATATATAAATCTATTGAGTTGAGGTGTCGTTGAATTTTAACTACACCCGGGTTGTTTTAGGGTCTTCTGATGCCTTACTGGATCTTTTTGAGGTTCAATTACAGATGTTTCCTCTTGGTGATTGGCATTGCCCCAATTGTATATGCAAATTCTGTAAGGAAGTTGTCGAAGACGTTACTTGTGCTGGTGCAAATGCATGCACAATGTGTGAGAAAAAATGTAAGTCATTTGTTCTTTCATTGCCTAGAACAATTCATTTTTGTTTCCACAGAGTTATTGTTTCTAATTGACGTTGCAATTCTCCCTTTCTAGATCATAAATCATGCACCCTGGAGACAAATGTTACCCCAGCGGGCACCAGTAAACCAATCATCTCCTTTTGTGGGAAGACATGCAAAGCGGTACTTGTCTTTCAAGTCTCATAACCCTTTCATTCTTCCTTCTGTTTATAAAAGCGTGATGCAGCTTCAAGGCAGCAGATATCGGACGTCCTTTAAAAAAGTGAAATTGTCTGTCCTTTACCGAATCATTCTGGTAAAGTGAAATTTACTTTTGATTTTACAGCTCTCTGAAGGTGTCAAGAAGTATGTCGGTGTCAAACACGAGTTGGAAGCTGGATTTTCATGGTCTCTAGTTCATAGGGAATGCAAAGATTCAGATTTATACTTAGGTGGACATCCTCATGTTGTGGAAAGCAATTCCAAGCTTGCCATAGCTCTGACGGTCATGGATGAATGCTTTCATCCCATTATTGACAGGAGAAGTGGGGTGAATATCGTACGAAATGTCCTTTACAATTGCGGGTAAGCTTTTCATCAATAGCTTCTGCAATGTTTCTTTGGTTGATCGAAATGTCCTTGTGTTGTATTGAGTATTTTCCTTATACATTACCTTTCTTAAGGTCGAACTTCAACCGGCTAAATTTTGGAGGATTTTATACTGCTCTACTTGAAAGAGGCGACGAAATAGTCGCTACAGCATCGATTAGGTTATTTCTCTATCCTCTGTTTTAGTTTTGATCCTGTATGCGAGATTACTACAAAAGGGCTAGCACAGAGAGAAAGGCTAGTGTCAAAAACTATTTCACTTGTGCATTTCATTTCTTTTCCTTTTGATGCGTTTTTGTTGTTGTGAAAGGGATCTACATGTTAGTAAATATATTTACTATTTTGTTCAGATTTCATGGTACCCGTCTTGCTGAGATGCCCTTCATTGGAACTCGGCATGTCTACAGACACCAAGGCATGTGCCGCCGGCTTTTCACCGTTGTTGAATCAGTAAGTCCCATAATTGTTTTTCTTCCATGCTTATGATCTAGCGAAGTTAACTGACTCTTCGTTATGCCTTGTTTACGTGAAGGCTCTTCAACATCTAAAAGTCAAATTACTTGTTATCCCTGCAACTGCTGAATTTAGCCATGTTTGGATATCCAAATTCGGGTTTCATCATGCGGAGGATTCTCTGAAGAAAGAAATGCGATCCATGAACCTTCTCGCTTTTCCCGGCATTGATGTGTTACAGAAAGATCTGTTAGCTCCAAGACATGACACAGGTTTACTTTAACTCAACTTAGCTTCTTCCTTTTTTTTTGTCTCTCCTATCGATTTTTTTCTCACGTATGCTCTATTATTTGTGTCAAAAAGACTGCGATCCATCATGCAATGGAGACACTGATTCTACGATCAAGACTAATGAAGTTTCTATCTTGGAGACCACATCGACTTCAGGAGATAAACCGAAATCAGATTATGTTGTCGAACACCAACCATACGACGATCGATACCCCAAAATGCAAAACACCATGGGGGCATCATCAGATATAGAAAAACACATGGAGTGCAAAACTTCCTTTAATCCTTTTGATGAGGAAGAAGATGAAGAAGAAGAAGAAGATAATTTAATGGATTCTCCTCCTCAGCGAAACAGCGACATGGCTTTCTTGGATCATATAATCCGTTCTCCGGTTGATACTGGTGAAACGACAAACGGAGCCGTGTATGGTTCAGGCGATGATGATTCTCCGGCAAAGCAATGAAAACAGAGTTTGAATTCTGATCTCTGTTTTCTGCAGGCGTTTTGGTGTTATAGTACAAACACCAGAATCGCTTCTTGAGAATAGAACTTGTTAATAATGTTCTGTCTATATACATTTTATGCATATATATATTATTATATATGTTCTTGGCCTCAGAGCCTTCTGCCGCCGCCAAAAGCTTTCACGACGGTGAGGTTTTGGTTTTGCCATCTCGCTTGCGCTTCGTAGAGCGTTTACTAAATTCATTGGTATAAATGGTTTTATGAAGCATTTTAGTCGTTGTATCTTCGCTTAAACCGACTCAGACAATTTCTAGCAGTGAGTTTTTGTTTTTTTTTTTCTAAAAAATATTTCGTTTCTCGAGTTAAAAAAAAAAAAAGGTATTGTAGAATACCTCATTTGGTAGAAACACAGAGATTGGAGTCATGGATTGGTTTATGTTGTCAGTTTCTTTCGGATCTTAGCTGGTTCCCGATGCCTTGCTCGAGCGTCGAACAGGCCACGTCATGCGTTGCAATATCAATGCCTTCGCACTCGCAGACCAGTCAAGCTGCAGGAGAAAAACAAATAGTGTTTCGTTTGTTATGTCTTTATACTCGACACTAGTGTGAGTTGACTTTTGTAATAAATAAGCTGATGTTACGACGTCGTTTTATGGTTTAGAATAGCAAAAATCAAGTGCTTTCTCTCTCTCTCTCCCTATCGTCGTCTCTCTTCCATGGAGCTCTCTTCTGCGCCGGCCATCTTCAGCCACTCCTCCTCCGCTCAGCTTCTGAAACCAGCTCTCGGCTTTAGGCTTTCGCTTCCTCGTCATATAAGGATTTCCACTTCTCCTTCCACTATACCTCGATTTCTACGGATGGCGTCTCAATCTCAGCATCACGAATCTATCTCCTGCGCTTCGCCTCCCGGAGATAACGGTTTTCCGGCGATTACCTCTTCTCCGGTCGAATCAGGTTAGCGCTTTGACTATATATAGCTAAGAGGAATCTCTCGTTTCACTATCTGTTTCCTGATTTCTTTGTTGTTGTTGTTGTTGTTGGATTGGGTTGATTTGATTAGCTCGAATAGGTGAAGTGAAGAGAGTAACAAAGGAAACAAATGTATCCGTAAAGATTAATTTGGATGGTAATGGAGTTGCAGATAGCTCTACTGGAATTCCTTTCCTTGACCATATGTTAGATGTAAAACTCTTTGCTTTATTATAACTTTCCTCTTATCAATTTCATTTTTGGACTTGAAAATTTGATTAAGTGTTTGTGATTCTCTGGTTAGCAACTTGCTTCACATGGCTTGTTCGATGTACACGTGAGAGCTACAGGTGACACTCACATCGACGATCATCATACAAATGAAGACGTTGCTCTCGCCATCGGAACAGTAAAATCAACAGCTTTCTCTTGGAGTAGCATTTTCTATTGGAAGCTGTGTTTTTGTAATTGAAGTTGTTGTTTCTATCATCAGGCTTTGTTAAAGGCACTTGGAGAGAGGAAAGGGATAAATCGTTTTGGCGATTTCACAGCTCCTCTTGATGAAGCACTTATACATGTCTCATTGGTATAATTCAATCTGTGAGCTTGTTGCATCTATAATCTAGTTTGTTTCTTTCAGTGATTTTCGTTGATGATGGATGAAAAATCTTGCACAGGATCTATCTGGTCGACCATATCTTGGTTATAACTTAGAGATTCCGACACAGAGAGTAGGAACATACGACACTCAGGTCCATCAAGCTTTTCAGGCTTTTTCTATTTGTTTTCTTTGGTTTGTGTCAAAATCACTAAAAACTACTCTTGTCACATTTTAGTTGGTGGAGCATTTCTTCCAGTCATTGGTGAATACTTCTGGTATGACACTTCACATCCGACAGGTAAACTAGAGAACTAACTAGTGTTCCATACTCTTTTTCTATATTCTGTCTGCAAAACCTTTTCTTGACAATTGGATATGTTATGGCAGCTTGCTGGTAAAAACTCTCATCACATAATAGAGGCGACTTTTAAGGCCTTTGCAAGGGCTCTACGACAAGCAACAGAGTCTGATCCACGTCGTGGCGGAACAATACCAAGGTTTTTAACTTTTGACTCGTAGATGCAAAAAAAAAAAAAACCTGATCATTCAAAATCTTACCTCAGACAAAAGGCACACACACACGCATATATCATTCATCATCCCATATTTTTTGCAAGATTCACTATTTTCGTCATTCAAATTTGGAAAGACTGTATACAACTTGAGAAAACAAGTCTTGACACGTTTTTCGGTTTATGGCTTATTTGCAGTTCAAAAGGAGTCTTGTCACGGTCGTAAAAGATTCAGCCTGTTGTTCGGAGTTGATGAGGAGACCGGATCAGTTCTCTTAAGTACAATGTCAAACCTGCTCGAACTTTGTTCATTTGCATAAGATATGGATGTATATTAAGATCAGTTTTGAGAAGAATGGTTCATCTTTATATCATTCATGTTGTTGGACAATTGATTTTGTTTATATCTTTGCATTTGTACAGAGTATCATAGCGTTTTTCTTGTCTTTCGCTCAATGCTCAGTTCTAAAATCTGTGTTCATGTGTTAGAGCAGTAGACACTTGTGGAATAGCTATAGGAAAAACGATCAATTAATATCCGCACTATTGGAAGTGTAGCCATTTAAGATCTCCACTATGTTGGTGTGCACATGCACTAATATTACTTGGCTGATACGTAGCTTGACCAACATCCTGTTAGTTAACGTTACTTAGTCCGTGAACAGTGCTGACTCGAACTAAGCAAACCAAGCTGGACTCGGACCAGGTGATAAAACTCTGCATTTTGTATTATTATTATTTTTTTTTGTTTCATGATAAACCAGAAAAAAGCTAACTCTTCTTTTGAACTAGAATAGAAAAGAAGTATGAATTGAAAGTTAGTATGAGAGACCGATCCCGAATACAAAATCAACAAATCCTAACATTTTCACCAAAATTCAGGATTACAAGAGTTGTCTCCTTCTTTAATTACCTGATCAGATCCGAGATCACGTCAAATACTATATTCTAAACAGATCGTACACCATCAACTCACAAAAGAGAGGATAAAAAGGTTCAAACCCTCCGCTTAATTGAACTCATCAGTAATCAGATTCATGTGGCAAGGAATAATACACTTTTGAGTCTTTGAGAATTAAGACAGTACCTTTTTTTAAAAATCTAATTGTGGCTTATTAATTGTAATGGATTAACTTTTTGACAAATATTCATACCAAATTTTTTTTTTGACAATTAGATTTTACCTGTTAATGGGTTAATCACACTGTAGTTTGGATGGATTTTCTTGATGATTTTAGTTATCTTAATATAAGCGGTTGGGATGTGTATAGTGTAGCTTTCATATTTTGGATTTTTAACTGATTTGATTTCTTTTTGGATCAGTTTTGCACACAAAATTAATGAAGTCTTTTCCTCTTTGAATTGACAAGTCATATCGATATTACGATATTTGTATTCGTATTCTGATTTTGATGGATCTGAAATTCCTTATTCCTAATTTTTTTTAAACGGATTGAAGAGAAATTCAAATTAGAAAAACCAAATAATTAAAAAAATGTTTATTTATTCGATAACAGAATGAATATATTCGATCATTTTGTTTCCCTGACTAAGAAGATGTTATTAAATTGAAAAGAATTTAAATCATTTCTAATTTATAAGAGTTTTGCCCACAAATGTTGTGACTCCTCCTGCCTACTCACCAAGCCCTAGTGCACTTCCAAGTTTCCAACCCCACCAGCATCCCCTAGACCCCTCCCAAGCCCTCTATTGAATTTGAATTTCTAAGAAAAAATCTAAATTAACAAACTAAATTAATTATTAATATATAAATTTTTTATGTAAATCAAACTTTTCTGGCTGTTTTTATAAGATAAAGTATTCATCCATACTAGTTATACCATTGTTTTTTGGGTGGACTACCTAGAACCCCCTGTATAATGCTGGTTCTGCCTAATTCCCCCTATGCTCTAAAGTTCTTGAGATTCCCCTATATACTTTTACATTTAATGATCAAACCCCCTAATCTTAATTTTACTGCCTAATTCCACCTACAAAATTAAAACGCCTAAATCACGATCAGATCAGGAAAATTGCGTTTGAAAAATAATGATTGCCCATCTATTATTATTCGACCCGGACCCATCGATTCGGTTGGCCAAACAAAACCAGATCCGGGAATTGTTGACTTAAATTAAAAGTCAAAACTGAAAGAGGAGAATTAGTTTTTTGTTAGGGTTCTTGTCAACAATTAAAAATCAAAAGGTTGACAGGGAGAGAGACGAGAAAGATCTTCGAAAGGAAAGCTGTTGGTAACAAGAAATTGAAGATCGCTAAGATGTAATTCCCGTCAAGAAGAACGGAACGAAGAATCAGGCTAAGATCAGAAGTGCCGGTGAAACTGTGGCTCACTTGGCAGACTTGTCTTATACGGACTAGCTTATCTTATAGATGTTAAATTAAGACTCAACTTTGTTATCAGAGATGATGGAATTGAGATTATTGGTGCGGAAGATTAAACACAAAGAGATGTTGGTTTAGTGTCAATTAATCATGTCAGACGTTCAATAAGCAATTAAAGCATACATATACATAAAGCGTACATATTGATCAAAAAGACAAAAGCTTCTTCTCTTATATGTAAAGCACTAAGGCTAGAATCTAATTTTCACAAGCTAAGTGGAGAAAAACAGGAAGAGTTTTCCGCCCAGCTATTTATTAACCTGACTGAGATTCCATTGGCTCTTTTATTCATCTGACTCTTTGCTCTCTTAATTTTTCAGCTGTTGTAGATGGAACGTTAAATCCAATCAGAAAAACATCATGAGTTAGTGTACTGGCATTTAGCATCTCACGGTATTCCCAAATGCATCCATTGCCTTTCCCTCAGGTTAACAGAAGAGTACTCTAGTAAATGCAATGGCTCAATAATAAACAGATTGGAACAATGTTGCTACCAAGAACCCATTAACAAGCTACAACAAACAAGAAGATCATAAAAGAAGTAGAAAATGAAAACAAGAAATTATCTTACATATTTGCTTCTCTTCAAAGAGGATAAAACATAAACTTTTCTCACTAAGCAAGACATTCATTAAATATCTTCTGCACTTTCAGCGTTAAGCTATGGACAACTTGATTCCAATGCTTCTGGGTATTTCTCTCCAATGCAGGGGATCTTACAGGAAGTATAACTTTACGGCTCTGTATTATTAGATTCTCGATGTGGTCGTTGTTCCATAAGAACAAAGCTCTTTCTGCAACCTGCAAAAAAATAAACAAAAAAAGACTCAACCTTTTGGTTCTTTCTAGTGTTTATCTAAAGACTCAATCAGTCTTCATCAGTATCATTGGCCTCAAGAAGTGAACTTCAGAGTTAAATAGATGCTGTAAATTCACAGCGTGATATGGAGACGGCATCATCAGAACTTTTGAGTTTTAGTTGTCGACAAGAACCCTACAAAAAAATAATTCCCCTCTTTTAAATTTTGACATTTAATTTGAGTCAACAATTTCTGGGTCTGGATTTGTTTGGCCAACCAAATCGATGGGTCCGGGTCGAATAATAATAGATGGGCAATCATTATTTTTCAAACGCAATTTTCCTGATCTGATCGTGATTTAGGCGTTTTAATTTTGTAGGTGGAACTAGGCAGTGAAATTAAGATTAGAGGATTTGGTCATTAAATGTAAAAGTATAGAAGAGAATCTCAAGAACTTTAGAGTATAGAGGGAATTAGGCAGAACCAGCATTATACAGGAGGTTCTAGGCAGTTCACCCTTGTTTTTTTAATATCGTACAACTAGTTAACTTCATTATATTAGTTGCTTTACTACTTGTGTCATATTATACCAATTATACCAATACTACTTTTTTCTTTGTTGTGTAGAGTCTGTAGACAGAAAAAAAAATATTGGAAAAATAGATTTATCTATCTTTAATTTATTCACTTAATAATATAATATTCAGAACTTCATTAAATTTATAATTAAACGAAGTTAGATAAACTATAAAAAATTCATCATAGAATTTTATTTTTCTCTATAAGGGTTGTGTATATGTTTGAGAGTATGACAGATGGAAACGTAGGCTTAACGTCGTCTTCCGTAGAATTGGTCTTGAAGAATTTGCTCCTTATAAAATTTGGAATTTTGTCCCGATGCTCAATTCCAAAAACAGCATTCACTGACTTTGACTGTGGCATTGACTTTTGCTTATTGGTCAATGATCACCAGAGCGTGTCTATGTGTATTGAAAAAACACATTAATGTAGGGCAAAAAAAAATTAATTATAGAGCAGCAATTTAAAAAAAATAATAATAATCTATATTTATCATTAGTTACATTGTATTAATCTTGAATTTGGATATAGGTCTAAATGGGTTTACAAAAGAGAAGTTAACAATAAATCAAATTGTTATTACTTTATTATTAAAGAATTAGAATAAAGAAAACAATAGGCTATAGAACATTGAAAAGTTCATTAATACAAAGTGTTTCAATATTTTTTAATTATTAGTTACAATTGAGGTGAAATTATTCTGAAATTTTTAATTACTTTGTTATTGCTCTAAATACTTTTTATTTATGATCAATTAACGATTTTGAAAATTTAGTTAACAATTTGATAGAAAAAAAAGAAAAAAAATCAGTTTTAGAACTACAATGTAGTTTATTGACTTCATTTTAATGTTTTTACATAAGAATATTTTTTTTTATATAATTAAAGATATTTTTTATATTCACTTATGCAAATTATTAAAGTTGGCACGGCGGTTCTGATGGTCACAAGGAAAGAAAATTTGAATATGATGAATATTATCTTCAGAAAAGGAATTATTAACATTTTTTAATATATATATATATATATATATATATATATATATATATATATAGAGCAGTGACGAGAATTATTGTGTCAATTGTATTGTCTACAAATCTTAAGTCAAAACAGAAAACATTAAACTAATTAAATTCCTTAACACTTAGACTTATCAACTGATTATTTATGAATAATTTCTCAAGCTCCTTTTCTCTTTCTATATTTTTTCCATTTTCAATAGAAATTTCAAAATATGATTTCTTTGAATTGGTTAAATTCCAAATTATAATGGAAAAACTTCATTTTGGACATTATTCCTACCTTCTGATCTCTACCTTCTGATATTTTCTTAAATATTCCTCCAATTTTGCTATGCGCGTGCACTTAGTCAATCAACTCTTGACTGTGAGATACCGTGTTAAGTTGATGTGAAATGATTATGAGTCCACACTCGAAACTTGAAAGTCTCCAAACTGTTATTAGTCCCATCAATCAATAACACGCATATATAGAAACACCATTTTCAGAAATGAAATCGAACGGCTATACAAAAGTAAATGGAGATTTTGATTCCTCTTGTCATTTATAGTCTCCTCTTTTCGACGATAAAATCTGGAGTAGCTGATCCAAACGACCGCGTTTTCGAAGAGGTTAAGGTTGGATTAGTGGTGGATTTGGCTTCTATAGAAGGAAAGATGCTCAAAACTTCTTTTACCTTAGCACTCTCAGATTTCTATCGCAACAACGATGGCTATCGAACCAGAGTCTCTGTTTTAGCCAAAGACTCTCAAGGAGACCCTTTCCTTGCCTTTGCTGCAGGTGAGTTTCATTTACCTTGCTTTTTTTTATTTTTTTATTTTTATTTTAGAAAAATGTTATCTAGAAAATAATCATTTAGAAAATATGTTGACGTTGACGTTGATTACATAGATTTAGATGTGAAAATGTCAATATTAACTAAAAAACACATGATTCAACGTTAATTTAGTTTGTAAGTCTCAATTTTGCATAGACAACGCGAACTTGAAAAATTAATAAAACTTACATTAAATAATTATACATGAAAATGATTATTTTCATCTTTTATATTTTTATAACTAAAATATGATATTTTTGCTATAGTTATTGCTGTTAATTTTAAAGATATACGCATAAAGTATAAGGTTTATTCATGAAAAATTGTTCCATAACACGAAGAAACTAAGAAGTGTTGAATTGGAAAAGAAAATTAAATTAAAATGAATTATATAATTTTACATCAAGTATGTTCACTCTGAAATATAAATTATATAAATAATGTTGACTGTACAAAGACTAAACGTTTAGAAAATATAGAAGTCTTGCTGAATAGATTTTAAAGTTTGCATAAAACACGCACCTTAATGTAAGTCTGTCACTATGTCAAGTAGACTTTTGTAATGTCAGTCTGTCAATACACACATGCCACATATGTGTATTTTTAAGTCTTTGACTCTTTTTGGACCTTGCCCACTTGCATATCTTTGAGTCCCTCGAAAAATTTCCGATTTTATTTGTTATTCATTGTTTGAAACCACACAGCTACAAATCTTATCAAAAAGGCAAAAGTGGAAGTCATTGTTGGTGCACAATCACTGCCTGAAGCAAAGCTTTTGGCGGCTATTAGCGAGAAAGCTAAAGTTTTAGTGATATCACCTCTCGTTCCAAATTCCTTGTCTTTGAACAAATACAATCACTTTGTTCAATTGACGCATGATGCAACATCAGAGGTAAAAGGGATTGCGAGTCTCGTACATGATTATTTCAGTTCGAAATCAGTCGTGGTTATATACGATGATGTTGATGAGTGGAGAGAGGAACTGCAAATCTTGATGGAGAGTTTTCAAGATAAAGGAATCCATATTGCTCGTTTTGTTTCCTTTGCACTATCATCAAGAGAAAATCATATGGTGAATCAGCTAAAGGAGGTCAAAGAGTCAGGGTCAACGGTTTTTGTGGTGCATATGTCTAAGACTCTCGTTTCTCGTCTCTTTCGATGTGTAGAGAAGTTGGGTTTGATGGAAGAAGGCTATGCTTGGATCCTCACTACAAGAACCATGCATCATCTTCGTGACTCGGACGGTTTTGCAATGAGATCGATGCAAGGCGTGGTTGGTTTTAGATCCTACGTTCCAGTGTCAAAACAAGTTAAGTATTTCACTTCAAGAGTGAGAAAACTTATGGGTGATGATGATGATGATGATAATAAGGTAACAAAGCGTTTTAATAGCATGATCGTTAGTGTACGGGCACACGATATCGCTTGCATTGTAGCAACTGTGGTAGAGAAGATAAGTCGTCTAAGAGATAGTGATGGGTTTAACTTGACGAGACATGATGGTTCGGCCTCTTGGAATGTACCACATATTCTAAAGACAGTAAGATTTTTCAAGGGTTTGAGTGGTGATCACATCGAAATCAATGGAAACAAGTTTCTCTCGAAGACAATTGAAGTCGTGAATATCGTAGGAATGAAAGAGAGAAGGGTAGGGTTATGGAGTTGTGGTAGTTTTAGCAAAAGAAGACACATCACTTGGCCTAGAGGAGGATATGGTGATAATTATATCCCAAGAAACCGTTTCTTGGCAGAGAAGGATGGAAAGAAGTTGCTTAGGGTTTTAGTCAGTGCATCAAATAGGGTTCCAAATTTAGTCTCGGTGCGTCCTGATCCTGAAACAGGTTTCAACACCCTCACTGGATTTTGCGTAGAGGTTTTCAAGACTTGCGTTGCTCCATTTAAGTACGAGCTCGAATTCATACCTTATAATGGAAGCTTTGACAATCTTGCTTATCTACTCTCTACTCAGGTGCGTGCAAAAAATGCAAACAAACAATTTTATACAAGTTTGTAATGTTTTCTAATAATGTGTTGCTTTTTTTTACAGAGACACAAATACGATGCAGCTGTTGGTGATATAACCATAACTTCAAACAGATCTTCGTATGTTGATTTTACTTTGCCATTCACAGACATTGGTATTGGAGCCCTAACATTAATAAAGAAGAAGAAACAAGGCATGTGGACTTTCTTTGATCCTCTTGAAAGATCCTTGTGGCTAGCGAGTGGAGCTTTCTTCATCTTGACTGGAATTGTTGTTTGGTTGGTCGAACGGCCCACTAACCCGGAGTTCCAAGGCTCTTGGAGAAAACAACTTGGTACAATGCTCTGGTTTGGTTTCTCTACCATCGTGTTTGCTCACAGTAAGTGTATTTTACACTGTAATTATATACATGCTCTCTTTTTGTATACTCTGATGTGTAACGAGGCACATTCTTTGGTAGGAGAGAAGCTGCAACGATTGTCATCAAGATTTATAGTCATAGTTTGGATATTTGTTGTGTTGATATTGACTTCAAGTTACAGCGCGAATCTGACATCAACCACGACCATTTCTCGCATACAACTAGATTCACAGGCGGTTTTTGGCCCTCCGATAATAAAAACGATGATGCCAAAATCCATAAATGCAGTTGAGGCCTATGCTCAGTCTCTCCGTGATGGAAACCTAACTTATGTGGTCGATGAGATACCTTATCTCAATAACCTTCTAGGACAATATCCAGATGTTTTTGCAATGATTGCTAGAGAGGCTACAACAAATGGCTTTGGGTTTGTATGTGACGTCTCTTCTCAATATATTCTCTTTTTTTTATTGGGTTTTCTCTTTTACTAATTTATATGTTTGAATTTTTTTAGATGTTTCAGAAAAATTCGGGTTTGGTTCCTAAAGTGTCACGAGAAATCGCTAAGTTAAGGTCATTGGGGATATTGAAAGACATGGAGAAAAGATGGTTTCGGAAACAGGATTCGATGAATGAACATTCCAAAACTGATGTTGATGATGGTTCATCTAACCGCTTCACGTTTCATGAGTTGGGTGGTTTGTTCATCATTGCAGGAGTTGCTCATGGTCTCGTATTAGCCATGCATATTTTCAAGATGCGTCAAGAGATATTGCATGTTTTGTGTGGAATCTGGACTACTCGCTAAACTTCAATTTTTTTGCAACTTTCTGTAGATAAAAGAATCCATCATACTATATACGCTTTTGGCCGAGTTTTTTTTTGTGTGTGTATATCTATTATAGTATCTTATTATATAAAAGAGGTAAACTGTTACTGCTGAGAAGCATCCCTGTACAATGGAGGTCAATGAGACAATAATAAGTGCGAAATGTAGATACTAATATACACTTGATTTTACTTAACTTACCCCATATAGAGATGCTAACATTGTTATATCAGGACAGATTTTCCAGACTTTTAGTGGTGTTTTCTCTCCATATCAGAGATGTGATAGTAGAGTAGAAGACCCAATCGCCTCGAGGATGCATATGAGAGCCGTCAAGGACAGCTTCATACTTGTCTAGGGCAACGAAATTACATGTTCTCTCCAAAACGTCATCATCATTGCTACACCAACCGCTACACAAATTCCGAGCATCTTTGCTTTGCCCCGGTTACTGTGAGTATCCACTTTCTCCAACCTTGCAAGAAGGCAAATGTATGAACATACTCATTTGATTATTCCCACGCTAAGGGTTTCATCTAAATTCCAACGTTACCTGAATACACAGGCCATCACAAATGTTATGGCTAGGAGTAGGTTAAACATCCCAGAAGTGAACGTTGGTGTGGTGGCTGCATCACTATATAGTACAAGTTTTGCTCCAGCATGGTCTGTAATGTATTTATACAGAAAATTAAGGATGAAAGATGATTTGTACTAAAGATCAGTCACTTACTCAAAAATGCTCATTATAAGTATAACAATATGAGCAAAGAATTTGACACTCTTTTCGCAGGCCTTGTGCAGGCCCGGCCCAAAGGGATGGGCAGAGGTGCGATGGCCCAGGGCCCTTCAACATTTTTATAGAAACCTTATGTAAAAATGGCTCAGTTTTTTGTGTTTTTTTCATTAAAGGGCCTAATTTTTTTGTTTTCTTTGCTACTAAGGGGCCCAAATTTGTTTTATTTGCTACTAAAAAGCCCAAAAAATTAGAAAAAACATAGTTTAATTCTAAAGTAAACTTAAATTCTTTAAAATATCCAGTTGTAATTTTAATAAAAGGCTCAAAAAATTTTTTAGCTCTAGAAACCTGACTTTTACTGGGCCGGGGCTGGCCTTGTGTTCCCATAATCAAAGGTAGATTTGGCAATTATTAACATTATCATTAATCCCACTTGAAGAGAAATTGCAGCAACAATAGGGAGGAAATATGACTCCATGTATTTTACAAATGTTTTGGGACTGGTATCAATGGTGATATTAGAAAATGAGGGTGTAGGAAAAAGTCTTATAAACAAAAATGTGATTCGAGGGGTGGTTTTAGAAATAGTATATGTTTATAAGGTTCCAATGTGTATATATTTGAGATTTATAACAAATAAATAATCCAATGCTGTCACATGCATGCGTATTAAAGCCAACCAAGTTGAGAAAAATAAAAATGTAAAAAATAAGCAAAACTTCAGGAAAATATGAGTAGAATATACGAAAAAACACAAACCAAGTAAAAATTATAAGGGTTGAAAATTGAAACACTATAATAAAAAGTACAATTCTTAACAAAATGATTTATACCAAAATGATTCAACAATATAAGGAACTTTAAAAAATATATAATTTATAACTGTGGTTATTAGGTGAGTGCTTAGATGGTTTGTGTCACATACTAGACATGTTAATAATGGTTAACAAATAAACACCACTTTAAAGTATACTAGATTTTGGACTTGCGCTTAGTGCAAGTTAATGATTTAAAAATATTTTTGGTTCTTATATTATGTATTTACATCGTGAAAATAAGAAAAATTGAGGTAAATATTTTAATTAATTTGTTATTGTATCCGAATCTAACATAAAATAAAATGTGTATGCATTTTTGACATATTTTATTAGCTATTATTAACATACTTCATTTTTTCTCCTTACAAATTTACAATAACTTTTAAAATATTTTTAGCCAAATTTTGTATGCAACAAGTATTGTTTTAAAAAATATTTTGATCCATTTTAAACTTAATAGTAACATTTTAGACCAGTGTTTTATTTTGAAGCCTAGACCAAAATTTTTTGCCTAACATTTAAGCACATTCGAGAAGTAATTTTTTTTTTTTAATAATCCAATAGCAACACATGCAAACAAAATTTTTTTTTGTCTCAAATTGTAAATTTTGCAATTAGGATTTTTTTCAATTTTTAGCTTCAATTCTTTGCTTTTAGGATTCGGTAATTCTTCACAATTTTGATTCAAAAAGCTTCTATAGATACTGGTGTCTTATTGTTAATCATTTGAAAAGAAAAAATCACGAAACTCGTTAAAGATCATCTATATACAATTAAAGATGATAATACATACAATTAAGATATGTGATTCTGAATATTGTATGAAAAATACTTATATTAAGACACATGTGAACACTTGTAATTTTTGTTTTAGTTCTCAATCAATATTTATGTAAAATTTCTTAAAGAATAACTGAAACAATATGTTAAAAAAACTCAAGCAGATTTATATCCATAAATTATATAACTTTGTAATTATATATATATTTTTTAAAAAATACGAATCGTCAATATTGTATCAAAGCTTTTAGTTGTTTTTAAAACTAAAATTGTCATAAGATTATACAATTAGTATAGAGTGTGATAGAAATTATTATGATCATCGCGATTATATTATATATATTTTTAAAAATTCTTTTGTTCAAATGTATAAATTAAATCCAAATTAATACATAAAAAAAGATTTCGGATTTTGTTATATAATTTTCCTTTGTTGTTGTAAACTTATCAATAATATCTCATAATTGTTTTTGATAAAATATATATTTTGAAAGAAGAAAAAATGAAAAAAGTTTGAACTATTTCTTTTTGAGAGATTTATTAATGAAAAAATTGTTAACAACCAAGAAAATAATTGTTTTTATATAATATTGTTTTTATAGTATATATTTAAACAAAAAAAAATTGTTACACATTTTTCATTAACTATAAATTGGCAAATTTAGTAAATATTATGGTAGTTTTTGGATATTTTAAAATAGTGATTTTTTTTAATAAAAGGTGTAAATTTAATTTTAATATAATATATACTTAGTTTATAATATAATATATATCTAATTATATTAGTTATTCATGCTATATATATAATAATAATAATAACTATGTTAAGATATTATATGATATTATAAAAGATTCTGAAATAATTTTAAAATCAAATTAAATTAAATTAAATTAGTATCACATATAATGACATATATGAAGCAGCACAAATTGTGCCACGTGTCCAAATATAAAAAATAACTTCCTACTTCAATTGTAACGTAAGCCTCTTTGTAATTAAACCTAATCTTGAGTGTTTTGTTAAACAAACTCCACTCAGTGATCAAGTAGAGAAGCTAAGAAATTGATTCATTGTCTTGTAATGTTCGATTGCCAGCCTCTCGAAAGATAAAGTCACGGGTCTCTCCTTTTTGTTTATAAAATCAGATTTCAATCGATGATATGCAAGAAGAGTCTTCCTATTTGTTTCTAAGTCAGATGGAAGGCCCTCTAAAGCATCCCCAAAGGTAAAATCACGAGTTTCTCTCATTGTTTCTGCAATTTTTTTTTCCAATCCATAATTTTGATTTTATCTTAGAAATATGCGTGAGGTTTATACAAATTGCAAGGCCCATACTGTTTCCTTGAGTATTAATGTATTATTCTTAGATTCAAGTAGGTTACTTATTGATTTTTTGGTGTGCTCTGATTTGGAAAAGTTTATTTGTTTTCAAGTTCTTCAACGAAGGCGTCCACTTTTTTTGCTAAGAAAGGAATACCTTAAATGTTCTGGAAAATGAATAGATTAATTTTGTAACAAAGGACTTACAATTTTGTAGATTCCACCTTTGCAGAAGATGCAAAGACAATCAAAAGGACCTCCAAGCCAAATCCCAAGAGCAATCTTTGTATGATGCAAAATTACATAAGCATCTATCTAACATATCAAAAACCTCTAAATCTCCTGTCATTCTCTTTTATGGTTCCAGTCGAGAGCATCTAAGTAAAGTGATAATAGTAGAATAATGGAGGAATGGTAATATGTCGCTGATCATGAGTTTACATTTTGGTTCAGTAGTCTTAAGCAGACGTAGAACTTTATGGCCATAGGAAAATGCCATGAATACACCACGAGAAAGAAGTAAGTAGTAGGTAACCAGTTGTGTTAATTGAAATGATGAATGCCATTCTAATGTGAAATATGGCCCATTAGTTTACAGTGGTGTTTAAGTTAATAGTTTGGTGGTTAATGAAAATCATTAGATGATGAGTATGTAGTTTAAGAAGTAACAAGAAAAAAAAATTGTGTAGCTGGCATTCTTCAACGCTGAAATTTTTTTTCACATTCTTTTTTATATGTAAATGGTTGTATTACCAGAAAATCACCACTAGGTTTAAGTGATTTACGGTTTGGATTGAAGAATATCAAATTGGAGCTCGGAGATTAGGTCAACGAAAAGAATCAGGTCTTCTCTCTAGATTATAGATTTTTCGATGGTTGCTTTAGGTCGGGTTTTCATCCCGTTTTCCCATGATCTTCAACTTATGAGAATCTCTCTATTTATAAGAAGGCGAGGTCAGTTTCTTTGACCTCGTTTCCCTTTTTATTTAGGAATATTTCTCATTTTCTGTTAAGGAAAAATTCTTATTTTCCTTATTCTTTGGAGATTTGCCATTATCTTCAAAGACTTTCCCTTAATTCATAAATCAGTGTGATTCTTCTTTTCTTGATGTGCTTAGGTTATTGCTAGAAAAAGTCTTTTAGGAACTGTGCTCATTTCCCCTCTAACAGTAAGTCCCCCCCCCCCCCCCCCCCCCCCCCCCCTCGGCGAGCCTGATTGTAAATCAGGTCGGCGGACTTCATGAAGTAAAATTGGTTTGATCTTGCAATAAGCGTCAGCTCGTCGAGAGTGTCTTCCATAATTCGAGCTTGGCCTGTTAAGGATAATTCTTTAAGAAAGTCATTTCTAGTTTTGATTTACATCGCACTTTGGCAACCTTGATTTCACGTCGCACTTCGGTGATTTTGATTCACATCGCACTTTGACGGATGCAGAGTGTTGCGTTTTATTGGATGTCTGAGATGCCAAAATTTCTATCTTCAACGAAGATTTATTTCTTGTTATGCATCGCTGCTTCGGCGAGAATGCTTTTATTGCATTATAAATTATGCCACTGGTTTAGGTAGACCAGATAAACTGCTAAATAGATTAGACGAAGTGATAAATTTATCTAGTCGACTTAGATAAATCAATCAGTCTAAGTGATGTTGCAAAGATATGCAAAGCAATGCTTTTCAAAGCGTGTAATGGTCTTTCAAAGACATAAAGCTTAAACGCTCGTTGACGAGGTAATCTTTAGGCCAGTGCTGGAGACGAGATTCATTTGCTCGTCTTATACCAAGTGACAACAAGATCGAATACCAAGCTTTCAGGATTCACTTCGGCCCGAAAGGTATGATCAATGGTTGTGTGAGTATTGTCCTCGGCTTTCATCTTATTCACTTCAAAAGTAATTAAATTGAAACAGAGCTTCAAAGGGTGGTGATCAGTCACATAATTTATTTGCTTTTTAAGTCAGACGTCTGGCCAGAACGTTGACTATATTAAATGCATTCGCATAGAATAGCTTTGCTGCATAGCTTCGCTGCTGAAGAACTCTTGCCGAGTTGAAGATGCTTTTCCAATGTCGAGTAGTAAAGGAATGTTTTTGAACTTGGACTGAAAAAAAGTAATCGCGATTTTGAAAATAGATATCAAATATTTACTAGAAAACTTATCTTTTTAGTGATCGATGCAGAGGATTTGAGCAACAACGCTGTTGTAGAAGTTGGTGCTTGAAATAGAGCGATCCTTTACTCTCATGCCGAGATCATGTCAGATTTTTGATAATAATCTTGGTGCGAGGTCGTGAGCCAATAAGGATTATTAGCGTGAGCTTTAGCTTAAGCGTTCCCTTTTTTTTCTTGTGAGAAGATATTGGCGACCTTGGTGCGATTATGTGACGATGTGCTTATATTCTGAGTTGAGCGTGAGCTAGCTCGGTGGTGGTAGACCATTTTTTTTGCAGAGCTTCCGAGCTCGTTCTTCTCTCTTGCTTTAGTTCTTTTGGAGCCTTAGTAGAGCTGCGTAGCTTGTCGTTGTTGTGATTCTTATTGTGTAAATCATGCTAGATTTAGCGGAATGGGAGCTTGTTTGTTGAGCTCGCCACATGCGGTCTTTAAAGAATTTTTTTGAGTCGAGCTGGCTTTTAGAAGAGAAGCTTTCCTTTTTAAGCACGACATGCCTTTGGTATAAGGGTTTTGACTTTGGTTATGCATAAGCTTTTGCTTCGGATAGTCGTTGATTAAGACTCGCTGAGGTAACTCTTGGTCAGAGTTTTACGGCTTGATTCACAGCCCGGTTCTTCTACCATCCCACCACGATCATGGTTTTTTTTTACAGACCTGCTTAGTCTTCTTGCAAATTCGTTCAACGAACTTCACGCGCTATTAATTTAAGAGCTCGCTGTTGACTTTGCCAGGTTTGGAGTTCAGCTTTGACTCGATTTGATTAGTTGTTCGTCTCTGTTAAACTCATAACGAATAACTAGAGAAAAGTGAGATCTCGAAATAATGACGTATTAAGCCTAAGCTTAATTAAAGCATGTGGTGAACTCAGCAATGAGACACAATTAAAAGCGTGATCGTAAATAGACTGGTGCATTAGTAAAGCTTATCTTGGCGGATGGTTTTGTGATTGCTTTGCGGTAGAGTGCATGACTTTTAATGTCGGAATTGATGCTGCCGTCTTGAACCTCCGCTTTCCAAGTTTGATAATTCTCTATTTCCCACAGACGGCGCCAACTGTTGAACCAGAAAATCACCACTAGGTTTAAGTGATATACGGTTTGGGTTTAAGAGAATATCAAATTGGAGCTATGAGATTAGGTTATCGAAAAGATGAACTACTTGAAGTTTTTATCAAGTTATAGCTGGACCTTTAAGAAAGGCTGCCTACGTAGCCTTGCAAAGGGATCAAGCCATTCGTAGTTCACGTGCAAAGTGTTTAGATAGAAGAAATCTAGAGAGAATCAGGTCTTCTCTCTAGATTATAGATTTTTCGGTGGTTGCTTTAGGTCGGGTTTTCATCCCGTTTTCCCATGATCTTCAACTTATGAGAAGCTCTCTATTTATAAGAAGATAAGGTCGGTTTCTTTGACCTCGTTTCTCTTTTTTATTTAGGAATATTTCTCCTTTTATGTTAAGAAAAAAATTCTTATTTTCCTTATTTTTTGGAGATTCGCCATTATCTTCAAAGACTTTCCCTTAATCCACAAGTCAGTGTGATTTTCCTTTTCTTGATAGGCTTAGGTTATTACTAGAGAAAGCCTTTCAGGAAATGTACTCATTTTCCCTCTAACAATAAGCATAAAAGATCAAAGGATACTGAGAAACATGCATTTGTGTAAGTGAAAAACATGTTATAGGCTGAGATCCTTGCAACTGAAGCTGAAGCTATATATAATTAAACAATCCAAGAGGTCACAAAGGTGAAGTATACTGGAAGATTTGGAGAAGAAGTCCAAGAGCCACACAAGACTAAAAAACAAGGGTGAACTTGAAAGAGGATAAAGAAGAAGATATATACAGTAAATGATTTCATATGATGAGATAAAGATATTATCTACATATTAATTTTCTCATGTGTTAGTTCTTTGTGTGTGTGTTGTACATGATGTGGCTGTAACTAATTAAGACTAAACACTATAAAAACTTCATATCTTACCAGGAATTTGAGACCTACCGTTTACCATCATCTTCTTTTTATTATCGCTACTAGGAATAAGATCCAGTTTCGCGAAGTTAATTTGCCATGTTTAAAAAAATATTTAAAATAATTACAAATAAAATGCATAAAATAAAAATAATGATATAAATATGTAAATATCTTAAACAAACTTTTTTAAATGGAGAAAAAACTTGTTTATATGATCAATAAAGTTCTTAGATTAAGTTTGGGATAAAATCATAAAACATAATGAAGTAATACTAAACTTCATTTATTTTAGTCTAATAAATTTATTTTCTAAATATACATATAAAAAAAAAAAATAAAAACGATCATAACTTTTAAATTTTTTATAAAATTAGAAAGATATAAATAGTAAAATTATAACTTTTCGTAAAATAAGCAGTTATATATAAAAATATATATAATGAATATTGAAAAGATATGAAATTTAATTACAGTTATCAACATAAAAATATAATGAAAGAACGCAATCATATTTGATATTATTCTATTTTAAAATATAACTTCGGTGACCACATGTTTCACAATCAACTTGTCCACAAATTCTCCAAAGTTGCTATTAGATGACCCACCATGCGCCACAACAGATTTTGCCTCCTCCTTCCACCTTCGAGAGGTTTTTCTCAGCTCCACCGACTTCTCTCCAATGGTTGCTTCAAGCAGCCTCTCAGCAATCTTCTTGTAACACCCGCCTCTCATCATTTTAGTACGGTGTGCCACCCACTTAACTTTCTAATCAAGTTACCATACTTTTAACTCAAAACCAATACTCTTTCATAAATAGAACTCAAAGTAGTCTTACAAAACCGAACTGAAACTCAAAATAACCTCAATAGATCTTTAAATAGAATAAAAACCATTTAAAAAGAAAGCTAAATGTTTTAGGTCCCCAAGATCGAACTAATGAACACTAACACCACCACCATGCGATCAATGCTGCTGCTCCTGCTCACCTGCGTGAAAGGGACAGGGAGAGGATGAGTAATTTAAATTACCCAGGAGAATGCATACATGTGGTCCACCACACATATCACAACCTAATCATGTCGCTAGCCATCAGCTAAACGAACAAGCGTTCACAACTATTCAATACTCAACAATCAACAAACAATCATAATAGGTTTAGGTAGGAACTACATCTACCATAAACACAACAAGAAATCATATCAGGTCTAAGTAGGAACTACATCTACTATAACCTCAGCAACCCTATAAGTGGAACTGCATCACTTTCAACTATCGATATAGGTAGGAACTGCATCTACTGTAACTCCAAACAATCCGATAAGTGGAACTGCATCACTCTCAGCACTCATGTGTAGGTAGGAACTGCATCTACCGTAACATCAACAATCCGACGAGTGGAACTGCATCACTCTCGGCTCCTAATGCAATTGTGCTCTCAACACTCTATATGCAATGCAACCCACAATTCTTACAAGCAATTAAACACCAACAACAATCAATAATATTAACCGTGGTCCTAGATCTATGTTCAGAAAAAAGTAAAAGTAAATCACAACACACAACAAGCAACTACAAGTTACGACATAAGCGCAACCTGCAGGGGAAGGAAATCTGTTTGTCCTTAACTAGAGACAAGCGCGGAAGATAATACGGAAGGGAAGGCATGGATACATCCTCACTTTTTACGGATCGAATGAACAGCTAAAACAAAAGGGCTTAATGTTTAGGGATCTAACGACAAGAAGCAGAAAACGCAAGGAGACAGCGAGGCGGCGCAAACGAACGGCGACGGCGGCTCCTCTCTCCCTCGGTGGTGGGCGGCGACGGCTGAAGGTTAGGGTTTAGGGTTTCTATCTCTGAGTGCTCTGGGAATTATGATGATAATTCTGACTCTCTAAGAGTATCTCCAACGGCAGAAGTGATTCTTAAAATTATTATATTATTATAATTTAATAAAATAATTTATTTAATAAGAAAAGAAAACAAACCATTAATAAAATGACACATGTCTTAAATTTGTTACAAGCGCTTCTCAACTAAGCATTTTTGAAACCTGTTTCTATCTTTTTCTTACCTCTCTCTTTTTTTTCATTATTTTAATTACTTTTAATTATTTTTAATATTTATGTTTAGAACCTCTGTTGGAGGTGGTCTAACTCTCTTTATACAAAGGGGGGGGGGGGGGGGGGGGGGGGGGGGGGGGGGGGGGGGGGGGGGACTTTAGGATTATGATTTTATAACATAATGGACTTAATGGGCTTCCAACATTAAAGAAAAAAAATAACAGGCCGGTTTAGGGAAACCGGGATGTTACACTTCTCCCTTGGAACAATCCTCTCATCGGCCTCTCCGTGGCTAAGTCTCACTCTGATCTTGAAAACATCGACAAAGTACACCACATTTGTCACCTGATCCCCACACTGCGGAAGGCAAACCATGGGAACTCCAGAAGTTAAAGCCTCCATGGTTGAGTTCCATCCGCAGTGACTTAAGAAGCAAGCAACAGCAGGATGAGTTAATACTCTCTCCTGTGGACACCATTCCACGATCTTCCCTTTTTCTTCGAGCTCTCGAGGCAAAGCATGTGTTTCTAGATTAAACCCTTCCATGGGAGGTTGAACCACCCATAAGAAGGACATCCATAGGTGAGAAGGCCGTGAGCGATCTCATCCACCTGCTCATGCTTCAAGTGAACCACAATCCCAAAGGATATGTAAACAATGGAGGATGGCTCTCTCGAGTCAGGCCAATATCTATACAGTGATCAGTGGACTCGAAGACGTCTTCCTTAATGTGAGAGCTTATTGTTTTATGCTTTTAGCTATCTTAAAGAGTGGACCAATGGGGTTGATAGTGACTTGAGGACAGAGCAGAAACATGTGATCGATGATGTCTCTTTCAAGTTCATCAAACGGATCTATGAGAACATAGAGGGCTTGTGAAGTCACTTGAACTGTTCTAAAATGAGTTCTGCGTAAACTGCAAAGGTAGATGAAGGGTGAAGAAAGCTTGGGATCTCTTCATGCTTCAACAATAATGGAATGAAGGGGACTTCAACGTTGACCTTCAGATCTATTTTGGTTGGAAAGTCAACTAATCGGTGGTTGTAATAGTAATACGCCGCGAGGCAAGCAGAAGAATGAACCCAAAGAACAGCCGAAGGGATTTGAAGTTCCTGCCACGTCGCATACCCATAGAACAAAAGCACTGTTTATGAGACACCTCACTGGTTGCTTCTCGTATTTCTTGACCAGGTTTTTGATCTCTCGTTTTCCGATGACTTCAAGTTGTGATAGTAAGAAACCAGACTCGGTTTTGTTCTTGACATCATTGTAAACAAATACATCGCCGAAGAACTCAAACCGGATGAAACCTAAACCGATCGGTATAACAACGTGGTCTTGAATCTTGTTGGATTCACGCTCGCATCTTCTTGCCACATGGCTCTACTGTGATGAGTGGTGACAAAGGTGACGAGTAAGCCTTTAGAGGCTATGAGCTTTCCGAGACGAAGAAGAGGGTTTATGTGACCTTGGCCAGGGAATGGTACGAGCATCACATGAGTCAGCGACGGTTCCATCTCAATGTATTCTACAAGAAACTGCTAAATTTTAAGTTCAAAAAAAAAACTGCTAAATCTTCATTACCTTATCCAACTCGACAACATCTTTTTTTATATAGTGAGAGTATCTATATTGCTTAGAAACTTTTATCTTATTTAATAGTAATATTATAAGTATAATTTAATTTAATAATCAATTTTTAATTTATAATTACAAAAAATAAATCAATTATAAAAAAAACATGTGTTATAAAAGTCTTTCATAGTCTTTCATCATTTCGTTCTCTTTTTTTTTATCGACTTAAATTTTATTAATTTAAAAGAGTAATTACAGAGACATTATACAAAATTACTGAAATACAAATTATTACATATACAGATTTATGATGTAACGTCGTGGATCTAGGCCCAAAGGGAAAATGAAAGGCTAATGTATCTAAAGCTCAAGAGGAAAGGGTGTTAAGGTTTTCCGAGAGTCCTCCCTATATAAATAGAGCTATAGAGTCAGGATTTCCATCACAACTCCCAAAGCACTCAGAGATAAAAGCTAAGAACCCTAACCGAGAAGCCCTATCGTCGCCGCCGCTGTTTGCCGCTGTCGAGGAGACCCGCCGCCGTTCATCAGTTCCGAACCGCCGTTTTCTTGAGTTTTTTGCCTTTTGTCGTTAGATCCCTTAAATATTAGATCCTTTTATTAGCTTTCAATCGATTAGACAAAGGTGAGGATGTGTTCATTCCTTCCCTTCGATATCGTTGTCTAGCTTGTTTATGTTAGATCTAGATCTCAAGTCCTCTAAAACTCTACAAGTTCCGCTATAAGTCGTAACTTGTAGATCTGTGATGTTTGCTAGGTTGTTATTTATTTTTAGAACCTAGATCTAGATGTGGATTAATATTGTTGATTGTTGATTGATGTTGATATTGCTTGTGAGAATTGTGAATCTGTATTGCATTGCATATAGTGTGTGAAAGCACAAACTGAATTAGGACCCAGCAGTGAGAAGGCACTGCTGGCGTGATTGACGCCTGCGACAGAGAATGTGCCTGTTGTAGTGCCATGTTGTGCTCCGGTTGATGAACCAGTCGTGCAGCGACTTAGACTCTTGCGGAGATGCGTCCCCTAGCAAGGGTTTAAGACATATAAAACTTGCGGAGGTTAATCCGTGTGATACTGTAATAAAAGGCGTTTAGTATGCTCGCTTTGTTTACTGCTTTCTGTTTGTTGGTTGTTAGAGGAATCGTTAAACTGTGCTTGTTTGTTTGGCTTTGGCTAGCGACAGGTTTGGGTAAGGTATATGTGGTGGACCACATGTATGCATTCTCATGGGTAATCTAAATTACTCATCCTCTCTTTATCCCCTTTTCCTCTTTGCGCAGGTGAGCAGGAGCAGCAGGAGTGATTGGCGTGTGACATGATCATGAAGGACAATGACGAGCTTGTAGCCGAGGAGAAACAAGAACAAGGAAAGCATGTAGCTGATGAAGCTCTTGAAGTTCAAGGTGGTCCAATGACGCGTTCAAAGACTACATAATGCCTTAGAGGTTCTACTCAATCAAGTCAAGATTAATGACGACAAGGCTATACTTACCACTCTGGTTTGTATTCAAGCCGATTAGTTTATGGGTTAGTAATGCAATGTTTGCTCTTTCTCCCTTAGTGAGTTTTGTCCCATTGGATTTTCTCACTAAGGTATTTAACAAGGACATTGCATTGCTTTGTCATTGCCCATGAAACTAATTAGGAGACCCAAGCCTATTTCACCTCCTTTCACTCGGTTTTGAAAATCAAATATGCTTTTAGTTTCTTTTCAAATAAGATGCTCCACCTCTTTATTATTTTTGTTGTTACGAGATGGTCCTCGGTGCTTGTACCAAGGCTGATCTCTTTATATTGCTTTGTTGTTCCACAAAACGTTTTTCATCTATCTTTTTTATCAAAACTCTTTTAAGAATAGATCATCATTTGGTGTGTCATATCTGAAAAACCCTTGTTGTTTTTCTGGTGCCTCATATCCTTGAAACCTCAAGTTGTTTATCAAGAGCCTTTCACATCTCTTGCTAAACTTTGCTACCTATCATCGTCCCACCCTCTCATCAAATCATTCATATTCATCACTTCCATTCATCAGTTCACCACGGAGCACCATCCTTGTTCACTACAGATCATTCATTCGTTTACAACGATTCACACCATCATCATCTTAGCTTTCAAAGTCAGGATCTTAGGGAGATCATATTACGTGGTATCAGAGCAAGCTTTGAAAAGCTAAGTATTTTGATACGATCATTCTTATTTTTGATATTTCATATTTTGTCTCTTCATCTACTTTCAATCACGGCTTGGTTTTATTCGATCTATACAAGTTTAATTGTGATTTGTTGATCTATTTCATTTCAAAAATCTTTGAGAATTTGAAAATTTTTCTCATCACGGATTTAGTTGTTTGCACTTCACGAATTGTTTTTAAAAATAGTATAAAATGTTTATTAATTTTAAACTATCAAAGAACTACTTACTGCGAGTTGTTCATCAAACTTTTTCAGGTACCATGGCCAGAGAAGAGAATCCAGAGAGTCAAATGGGAAGAAGTCAAAGGATATTGATTGAGGCCCTCACAACCGAGTTGAAAAAGATGTTACACTCGGAAGTGGAAATGATCAGACAGGATTTTGAACAAAGAGAACCAGTCAATAGACGTCCGGGCAAAGAAACTGCGAGAGAAGATGACCAAGAGGATCAAGCCAGCGGACATCACACAGACCAATACTACAAGGGCAGTGGTTCTTCAAGGAGTGGCCAGAGAAGCTCTAGACAAGGCAGAGACGGAGTGCAAGACAACTTAGCCAGACTTAAGTTGAAGATTCCCTCCTTCCATGGCAAGTGTGATCCAGATGCTTACCTTGAATGGGAGAAGAAGATAGAACTTGTCTTCAACGTGCAGCACTATACGAAGGAGAACAGAGTTAAGGTCGCAGCCCCAGAGTTCTATAACTACGCTTTGAGTTGGTGGTATCAGCTTGTAACAACTAGAAGACGTAACCAAGAGTACCTGGTTACCACATGTAACGAGATGAGAAACTTGATGAGGAAGCGGTTTGTTCCGAGCCATTACCACCGGGAGCTACATCAGAGACTTAGGAGATTGACACAAGGCAACCGTACTGTGGAGGAATACTTTCAGGAGATGGAAACACTAATGCTTAGGGTGGACATCTTAGAAGATAGAGAAGCCACAATGGCCAGGTTCCTCGAAGGGCTTAACCGTGAGATTCAGGACCGTCTTGAGACACAACACTATGTGGACCTGAAAGAAATCCTCCATAAGGCTGTTTTGTTTGAGCAACAAGTGTAGAGGAAAGGGTCGTACCGTACCCGTCCTGGCAACGGTACTAACAATCAGTCACCCTACTCGCAGGACTATAAGAACCACCCGAGAGAGGTCAGGACATCCGTTCTAAAACCCGAAGCTACATCTTTACATGGGAAGCCTAAGGAAGTTGGTACTAAGGCACGTGATGTGAAGTGTTTTAAGTGCCAAGGTTGTGGGCATTATGCCAATGAGTGTATAAACAAACGTGTCATGGTCTTGCATGAAAACGATGATATAGAGTCAGAAGATGAGAAGCAAGAGGAAACTAAGGAGGAAAATGAGTTGCTACCAGTCCAGGGGGAGTTACTTGTAGCAAGAAGAACTTTGACCGTGCAAAGCAAGCCAGAGGAGCAAGACCAGAGAGAGAACCTTTTTCACACCCGTTGCTTAGTTCAAGAAAAGGTTTGCAGTTTGGTCATAGACGGTGGAAGTTGTGCCAACGTTGCAAGTAAGATCATGGTCAAGAAGTTGGGATTACAAGCTACTCCTCATCCGAGTCCTTATAAGTTGCATTGGCTGAATGAGAAAGGAGAAATGAAGGTTACCGAGCAAGTGTTAGTCACATTGGCGATTGGAGAATACAAAGATGAGATACTATTTGATGTGCTACATATGGAAGTAAGTCACATCCTGTTGGGAAGGCCGTGGCAATCTACTGCAACTGCACAACAAAGCAGTTGCAGTACAAAGGGTATCTAATCCCAAAGGAGTATGTAAACTACACTATCGATTGTAGGTTCAGATTAAGCTAAGCAGTAAGTGCTGTATGTAATGCGAATGACAAAATTAAAGTTAGAAAGCGAATTTTAGTTGTTGATCTAAGTTTCAGAAGACTGAAAGCGCTAAGTCAGGACAGATCGCAGGTTGAATCCGAGAATGTAGAATGCATAAAATCAGGAATGATTAAGAACCGTTTTGAACATGAATTGAAAATATATAACTAATTATCATTGCAGAAGTTAACTATGTCTAAATCACAGAGTTTCAAATCTCTTTGCAAACCCTAACAATCTAAACATGCAATATGATCAAATTCAATTGTTCACAAAACTTCTAAGCCAAATCTCTTTGCACTAAGTTGTTTTGCTCATCAAATACTAGTTCAGGTTATCAATAATGCTCTCACATATATTTAACAATCAATGATTTTCGGATTTCTAGATGATGTGTCTAAGAAATTCGATTTTAAAGCAAGCAGAGATGAAAAACCAAAAGATATTCCTAACAGGTAGCAATTCTACAAACTCTTCACCAACCTTTGAAAAAGCCCTAACTTAACTAACAAATTATTCAGACATGATCATGGAATCACAAAACATAATTGAATAAAATTGCATTAAGAGAATAGAATAAAAACAAAAGGAGGTTCGAAATCTTCTCCAAAAAGAGTACAGGATCTGTCTCCCCAAAAGCTCTCAATAAAATCCTCTCTAAAGCTCTCTGAATTCTTAAAAACTAAGATAAAAAAGACAACAATGGCTGAAAAACCAAATTTATAGAGGCTAAACACTATCTAGGGTGTTTTTGCAAATAAAGGAACTTCTGGGCCAATTCTGTAAATAATGCTCCATATTTTAAAAGCCAAGCCACGACCCCTTCCTTTCTGGGTGACGAGCGTCACCCATCTCTGATTTCGCCTTCTGAGTTGTACACTTCGTGGCTTCATCT